TTAACAGAGTTGGAAGGGACCTTGTAGATCATCTAGTCCAACCCCCCTCCCTCAAATATTGGAAGATGCTCTCCTGTCTCCCCTGGTCCTTCTCTTCCCTCGACTAGCCAGGCCCAGTTCCTGAAATCGATCTTCATATGTTTGAGCCTCCAATCATCCCCTCATCCTCCTGGTTGCTCTTCTCTGCACTTTTTCTAGAGCCTCAACCTCTTTTTTACAGTGTGGTGACCAAAACTGGATGCAGGACTCTAGGTGTGGTCATCATTCATTTCCCCCTTTGAGCCTGGTCTTCCCTGCACCCCCTGGATGTAGAGTCTCCAATGGGACACATCCATAGCCAAGAATCATAAATCAGTCTCTCCAGTAATAATCTTGTGCACCAACAGCTTCAGCTGACTAGCAATTATCTGAAACACTTAAGGAATGCGCTGCTCCCCCCCCCCCCCCCCCCCCCCCCCTTTCTGCTTGCAACTCTAAAAGACCAGAGAAATATTTTTGAGTTGACAGTATTCACACTTCATGGGATCTGGATTCTCTCCTGCTGTTAATGCAGCCTAGAAGTGTGTTGTCCTTTTTTTGGTTAGCGGCCAAAGATGGCTGGCTCATATTGTCCATGAGGACTCCAAGAAGACCCCCAGGGTCCCTTCCAATTCGGTTATTCTGTCTATTGAGTGTGTCCCACCAAATAGAGATGATGGATTGTTCCCCCTCATTCTTGGACTGACCCTCTCTTTCCTCCTCAGGTTCGAATTCGGCCAGGCGCTCTTCATCGGCTGGGCGGCCTCCTCCCTGAGCATCTTGGGCGGTGCCTTCCTCTGCTGCGGATGCCCCCGGCAAGAGATCTCCTACCCCCCGACTCGGCCGTACCCCAAGAGTGTCCCTTCCACCGGGAAGGATTACGTATAAAAGGACGGGGAAGGGTGACCTGAAACGCCGGCATCGGACGACCCCGAGGGACGCTGCTTTCCTCCTGCCCTGCGCTGAGCGGCGCAAGCTTGCTTTGGCACATCACCTTTGCCCACTGCCCCATAAGTGAACTGGGCCTCTTTGCATCCCTGCCCCCATCCCTGCTCTCATTTCCTCCGATAGGAAAAGCGAGGAAAGGATTTGTCCTGAAATCGCACACCGCAGGCGTAGGGAACACCACCTCCCCTCAGTGAGAGGGCCGACGAGGTAGCCATTTCCTTTTCGGACCCTTCCGTCTCCCCTTCTTCCTTCTCTTTGAAACCTTACCATAGATTTCTCTCCAAGAGCCAGGAGAGCGGCAGGCATCAAAGCAGACGGAGGGGCCAAACTCCCAGGGAAAAGTCTCCGCGAAGAACTTACAAGGAGTCCCCGGTGTCCGGGCTCCAACAAATCCGGCCCCATTCAAATCCTCAGTCTCTAGCCGCATCTCTCAGAGTCAACAACAATGATCTATTAGAAGTGGCCACGTTGGCGTTAGCTGGGTGCAGCTGACACTAAAATACATCATTCACTTCCCCCTTGACACGTGAGGGAGAACCTATGGCACGCGGAGCCATTTGTGCCAGTACACGAGCCACAGGCAAACTTACCGCACTGCCCGTGTGCATGCCTCATGGCTGGTTTTCCACTAGTTTGAGGCCTTGTTCGGCCTCCCAGTGGTTTGAAAAAGGCCTCTTCAGGCTTTGCAGGCCGAATAATAGGCCCGTTTGGTCAACTTCCTGTAATACCAGAAGTGATGAAACGGGCCTATTATCCAGCCCGCAAATCCTGCAGAGGCTTTTTTCAAGCCCGGTCTGGGAAGCTGAACAAGGCCTCAAACTGGCCAAAAATCAGCCGCGAGGTGCAGTGCAGGTAAGGGGGCGGCGGAGGGAGGGATTGAGAGTGCACACAATTTTTGGCACAGGAGCCCAAAAAGGTTAGCCCCCACTGCCCTTGACCCTAGTCTTTCCCCCCACCCCTGGATGCATATTCTCCAATGGGACACATCCATAGCCAAGAGTCATCAATCATCCTCTCCAGGGATAATCTTGTGTGCCAACAGCTCCGGTTGCCTAGCAATTATCTGGAGCATTTAAGGAATGCACTGCTTTCCCCACCACACTCCCTTCCTGCTGGCAGCTAAAAAGACCGAAGGAGGTTTGTTTGTTTTTTAGTTGACACTCGACTTACGACCACCACTGAGCCCAAAGTGTCTCTTGCTAACCGAGTCAGTGGTTCAGTGAGTTTTGGGGCCTTTCCACCCCTCTTGCTGCAGAAGTGGGCTGTGAAACACACACAGAAATACACACATTCAGATGCACCAGTCCGCTCCAAGCTGCGTTCCTAGTTTTCACTACCACAAACCTCACAGTGTGGTTGTGATTAAAGTACTGCAAAGTTGCCAAGACTTACTTGGGAGTAGACCTCGCCAGTCTTAGGGCACCGTTGAGCAAATCTGTGTGGGGTCCAAATGGCTTCTCTTTTTCTTTTCCGACTGAGATGGCTGGTGAATCTTGAACCATTTTGCCATCTCAGTCTGTCGATCATTGGGGGCATCCACACCCCTTGGCTAAATTTTACCAGGGTGGGAGGGAGGGACACACAATTCTGTGAGAAGAACCTGTATAAAGTATTAACTGTTTTCAATAAATGTACCTTTTCATTTTTTAAGAAACTGCGTCTCGGAGTTGCTATTTAATGCGCGAAGAGACAGTTTTCACCAAAAGGAGAACGGTGGTGCAAAATTACTCTTTTTTTTCAGGACATTGTGCAGCACATTGAACAGCACAGGGATTCAAGTTCAATGGGAAACTTTGGGTTTTAAAAGGCTTTGTGTGTTGTGTGAATTCAGGCTGTGTGTTAGAAGGTGGTTTGGGGCAACGGCTCTCAACGTTGGTGGCTTGAACATGGGTAGAATTTAAGTCCCAGATTTCTCCAGCCAGCTTGTTTTACTCCAACTCCCAGAATTCCCAACTAGCATGCTTTAAGATGGGTGGACTTC